TTGCGGATGGGCTTGCGTCTTTGTGCAGCCCGGCTCGCTTGCAGTCGGAATCGTGTCAGGCGAGGTCCCACCACTCTTCTTGGCAACATGCGGCGCCTCCGCCTTTGTTGCCGAATGCTGTGCGCTCATAGCAGCTCTCTGGATTACGACTAGCCGATGTGATGCCATACCGGCTGTCTTTGGAGTCGACTGTTTGTCTGCACTAGGCATAGCTGACGGTAAGGTTCTAAGCGCTGGGTCCGGTGTCGCTAGTGTTCTGTTTCGAATTGGCTCCATGGCCCGGTCGCTTTGTGCCTCCCCAAGGCTGTTCAGCCATTCACCGGGCCACCAGTGTATCCTCGCCAACGAACTAGCGGACCTGGCCGCCAGGCAAGCTGCGCATGGCATACACGTGGGAAGATTCTCCTGGACCCCAGCGGGAAGCCATGATTGGTGGGCGTCGGGAGGCATCTCACTTGACTGGGCCGGGATTGCTCTGCTGTGTTCCATGGGTCATTCTACCCTGCCTACGCTTGGCCCGGGATCTGTCCTCCCGTCCACGTGCACGGCCGGTCTGAGCCCGACCCAGATCCTCGCGCCGTTTTGCCCACACCCCGGCGGAGGCAGCCAATCTACAGAAAAGGGCACTCTGCACCTCGTGGTGGGGACATACAACGTCCTCTCCCTTTGTGGCCAGTCTTTTGGAGACAATGGCCCAAGTGGCCTAGCTTTTGTCGCGGGCCGCCCCCACCTGCTGGCTACTTGCCTTCGAGAGGCCAAGGTTAGTGTACTCGCAGTCCAGGAGGCCAGGACCGAACAGGGTACGGTCATCACTGATGGCTATCTTCGCTTCTGCTCCGGAGCCTCAAAGGGCAATTTTGGCACCGAGCTGTGGTTTTGTCAGGGAGCCAAGGTAGTCACTACTCAAGGCAACCAAAGCCAGCCCGTCTGCTTCCTTCGGCAACACTTCGTGGTTTTGCATTCAGATCCGCGCCGGCTTATAGTGCTTTTCCAAGCCGGCACAACCCGACTGGTGTTCACCTCCCTACATGGACCCCACAAAGGTTCGGAGGCTGCTCTCCTTGATTCGTGGTGGAAGGAAACCGGCCGTCTACTGGACGGGGCCAGTTCCCGCGGCGACCTCCTTGTTATGGGGGACTTCAACGCCGACCTGGGGTCAGTCGAATCTGCTGCTATCGGGCCACACGCTGCATCTGAGCAAGATTTCGCGGGCGAGCAACTGCATGCCCTTGCCTGCTCCCTCGATTTTTGGATACCAGCCACCTGGGCCGATGTCCACTCTGGGCCAAGCGGCACGTACGTACAGAAACGTAACGGGGCCACTAGCCGTTTGGACTACGTCTGCATTCCTCAGCGTTGGAGGAACTCGCGGGTGTCGTCCTGGGTTGCGCCGGCCATCCATGCAGGCCAGCCGGTCGTCGATCACATGGCGACTCTTGTGTCCGTGACACTGGCCGTGTCCTTCAGCACAGGAGCAAGACAGAAAGCCACTCCTCGACTTGATGCGAGGGCCATGCTCTCGCCGGAGGGCAAGGCGAAGATTGCCGACATCCTCGGCCGGGCTCCGGCCATTCCGTGGAGCATCAGCCCTGATGCTCATGCCGCGCAAATTGTGTCCTACATCCAACGGGAACTGCATATTGCCTTCCCCAAGCCCCGTGCGGAACGCCGTCATGCTTATCTGACCGATGCAACTTGGACGCACCACACTGCTGTTGCTCGTCTGCGACGCCGACTAGCGCAGTTGCGCCAGGCCATCTGCTTCCATTCCGTTGTTGCTGCTTTTACCACTTGGCGCGAGGGTCGTAGCACACTTGCTGAGACCTTCCGGCGGTCTCAATGGATGCAACAGGCTCGCGACGCTGAGTTGCAGCTAGGAGCGGAGCTGCAAGCCCGCGCGAGGGACCTGCGGCTAGGATGCAAGGCCGACAGAGCCGCCTACCTGTCGTCACTTGCAGATACCGTTGGAGATGGGAAGGATGAGTCCTTCACCGCCCTTCGCAAGCTCTTAGGACATAAGAAGCGTAAGCCATTCGCTCCCGACGTCCTACCCCAGCTTTTGGACAAGCACGGCGTGCTCTGCACCTCTCCCGAGTCCACCATGGACCGGTGGCGACAACATTTCAGTGATATGGAAGGTGGCACAACTGCGTCCCTTGAGCAGATTGCTACTCTGTCCCGCACGCCGACGCTTGCAGCTTCCTGTATACCCAGGTCCGACTTCCCGGCCCCGGCCGATGTTTTGGCCGCGATCCTGGCAGCTAAGAAGGGCAAAGCCTGCGGCCCTGATGGTGTTCCGGTGGAATTCGGGCATGCATGCCCCACGCAGTGGCAACAAGTGCTGCTCCCTCTGCTCTTGAAGGTAGGTATGCATTGCCAGGAGCCCATCGGGCTTAAGTCAGGGATCCTCACCTGGTTGTACAAGGGTCGTGGCAGCAAGCTCGACTGCACCTCCTACCGGGCGATAATGCTGCTTTCGACGGTTGCCAAAACATTGCACCGGGCTTTCCGGCCAGCCCTTTACCGGTTCTTCGACCACCAGTCTCTGCCTGTTCAGATTGGTGGCAAAAAGAGCACCACGGTGCTCTTTGGCGCTCATCTGAGCCGATCGTTCCTGACCTGGTGTGCGCAACTCTCGATGTCCGGTGCTATTCTCTTCGCTGACGTCGCGGCAGCCTACTATAGTGCCGTCCGCAGCCTGACGGCTCGGGACGAGACAGCTGGGCCAGAATCCGCCATACTCCCCCCGGAGCTCCAGGCCCGCCTCGCCGCACCCAGTGCCTTGAGTGCGGGCGGCGCTGAGCCTTGGTTGGAAAACCTGACACATGATTTCAACCACAACACCTGGATGACCCTAGCAGGTGACAACAGGCAAGTTGTCACCACCAAGGGTAGCAGACCGGGGTCTTCGTGGGCAGACTTGTTCTTCGGGGTGACCATCCCGGGGATTTTGGCCCTACGAGATCAGCTCCGTTGCGAGATCCCTGGTTACCAGCCCGGGCCCCCCGCCTCTGTGCTTTGGGATGGTGTGCGTGCTTTCTGCCCCTCCGTCCAGCCCACTCTCGAGGTGCCTCTTACTGAGGTCGTCTGGGCTGACGACATTGCATCGTACCTTTGTCTCCAGGACCCATCTGCGGTCGCCCAAAGACTGGGGACGGAAGCTTCCACCCTGATTGATGCCTTTTCTGGGTTTGGTTACAGCCTGTCTTTCGGGCCTGGAAAAACGGCCGCTGTTGTTGCCCTGCGTGGGCAGGGCGCACGGCATGCACGCCGCAGTGTGTTCTCGGGCAAAGCAGTCATCCCTGTTCTTTCTGAGAATCGCACGGGGGAGTACCTCCCGCTTGTTGCAGTTTACAAGCATTTGGGGGTCAAGGTAGAGGCAGCAGGCTCCCTGATGCCCGAAATCAGAAACCGTATCTCGCAGGCCTGGGTGGCGTTCCGTCAAGGCCGTACCAAGGTGTTCCGCTCGAAGCGACTGACCCCGGCGCGCAAAGGATGCCTTTTACGCTCCCTGGTGCTCTCCCGTCTGACCTTTGGGAGTGGAGCGTGGCGGACCCTCCGAGTTGGCGAATATCAGGCCTTTAGCCGCTGTGTTGTGGCCCTTTACAGGCAGTGTTTGGGGATCCCACATGATGCGGATCAAGATGTGAGCACCGAGGCCATCTGCTCGCTGCTCCAACAGGCTGACCCTCTCACAATCCTTAGGGTTGAGAGACTCCGTTACGCCCGACAGCTCGTGGCAACTGGCCCGGACGTGCTTTGGGCTCTGCTCAAACATGATTCGGCCTTTACCGGCGCCATTCAGGACGCATGCGGTTGGCTCTTCCGATGGATTTCGAGCACCTCGCCATTGGGCGACCCCAATGAGGACTGGGAGAGCTGGACACGCACGATGCTGGACCGCCCCAGGTATTTCCGAGGCCTCATCAAGCGTGCACGAGGCCTCGAGTGCCTCCGCCTCAGTGCTTTTGCAGCCTTCCAGGCGTTCCGGAAAACGCTCTGCATTGCTGGGTGTGCCACCCGTCCAACCCCCAGTGTTACCGACGAGTCGGTTGAGTTCAAGGATGCATGTTTGATTTGCCGGATTGCCTTCGCCTCCAGGGCAGCATGGGCGGTTCATGCGGCCAAGTGTCATGGGTATCGTGCGCCTGCAACTCTGCTGTCCCGAGAGCAGCTCACCCCGCTGTTCTCTGGTTGTGGACGTGTCTACGCTAATCGTCAGCGCCTGCGACGGCACCTGCTCCACTCCGCCACTTGCCGCACGCACTGGGGCTCATTCCAGTGTGAGGGCGCTCCTCATGAGGTGCCGCACGAGCAGCGGCCTCCCTGCCAAGCTGCCGGACACTTTGGTGAGGACCCTGGCCTTCTGGACTCTGCCTTCGTGCATCCCGGCCTCCTTGAAGCCTTGCTGGGTCTCCCGTCCCTTGAGCCCGAGACGATTTGGGCAACTGTGATGGAATTTGTTGAACCCTTGGCTGTTCTGCGTAACACGCTCACTGCTTGGACTCAGCATGACCGTGCCCAGCCTGGCTGCTCTGAGCTTGCAGCCGACGCTGCACTGCTGCTCGACCCTGAACTTTGGTGCGATGATTTTCGCCGTCCGAAGTCGGGCAAGCGTAGCGTCCCTACCTGTGCGCCCTTGATTCCACCGCAGGCCTGTCGCTGCTCATTTGTCCTCACAGGACCGGAGGCGGTGTTCCGGGTCGAGGCACCTCCCGAGCCCGCCTTCGTTTACCCTTTCCAGGCCAGCCTGCCTCTTGCTTCAGCACGTAGGCAGTGCCACTGGATTGAGCAAGCATGCGACACTTTGGGGGTTTTTGTCCAGTCCTCTGCCACTGCTCCTGTCTCTCTGTATGTTTCGGTAGCGGCTATGAGGTGCCTGGAACCATTAACCTCCTGGCTTTTAGAGAGTGGCTTTGAGACACACTCCGAAGGGCTAAAATCGCCCAGGGAGTAGGCACTCGCCCTCTCTTTTCATCGTTTCACCAGAATTCCGACGCATGTGGCGCGTCCACTGGACACTCAGCCATCGAGAAGAAGAAGAAGAAGGCTCCTTTGAATGACGCCAGGGTGCCGGGTGCTGACGGCTCCCGAGCTCCGGTCTCAAAACAGGGACCCGTAATGTGCGGGTGTGCCAAAACCTTCTTGTAAACCCTACAAACTCAAGAAGATCGAAATGCCAAAACGAACTCTACGAGCCCTACAAGCCTTATTATAAGCCTTGAGCCCAAGATTCTGCGTATTGAGCTTACGACTTGCATTCTGCTTAAGGCCAGTGGTGGGAGTCCAGAGACCTCTGCAAGAAGCTGCTGCGCGTGTCCGTCTACAACGATGCCGCTTGAACTAATGCGCACACACAAGCAGATGTATGTATGTGAGTGTGTTTATGTATATATATATGTGCATATGTTTACATGAAACGTCTGTATACAACTGGTCTTATCATTACAAGTGCGTGTCTAAGTCTGGTATTTTAAACATTTGCCTATGTATGTGTGACATACATCATACAGAGTGCATTCATGCCATGATTGATATCATATAGATATGTCTGGGACTTGGAGCCTTTGGGGAGTGTCCCTGTCCGACTGTGTTGTTTCCTACTTGACTGCTTCAAAAAAATGTGACGCGATCCTTAACGCGATAGCTTGAGGAGGTTGAGGTTGAGAGTTTAGTGTTCAGCCCAGGGGACTTCGTAAGTGACTTCCGTCCTAGTTACCATATCCACTGATCCTTGAACAGTCGAAAGGTGATCACCTACATGCCGTTCATGGAGCCCTTGCAGCTAATGGCTGCTCGACATTCACGTGAGAACCGCATGTTTGGGTAAAGAGGCCAGGGGGTTGGAAGGTTTGGAACCGACACGAACTCTCTTCGGCCGCGGCCCTGGAACCAACGACCCCACCTGAGTTCGTTTGGCCCGAATCACTGCGAGAGTCGAAAGACCTGTGTAGATAAAGACCATGTTCGACCGCAAGCCGTAAACCACCAGCCTCACAAGTCGAGGAAACAGGCCTCAAACCTCGGATAACGCAGAAGATTGGACCACCGCACCCCCACAACTCGAAACGATGAACCCGAAAGCTCTGAACCGAAGCTTCAAACCCCCGAAACCCACCAAGGTTCCGGAGGTAAGAGACCCAACAGTAGACAGGAGCGGTAGAGCCAGCCCCCAATGAAGTTTGAAAGCCCCCCATAGTCCCTGGAAGTTGATCACCACCAAGAACCATACGACCCTTCAGTCGAACCCCGGATCCGCGCACACTCCCAATTCCTATCAACAGAAAAGGGCTATGAGCCCCAAACCCCAAAATCCGACAACGGACCCTAAACCCAAGATTGCTGTAGTTCAGTGCGCACCAAGAGACCTCGTCCGTCTTGTCCGAGTTGCGAGAGCATAAACCCAAGATTAAGGACACCTTCAACTACTGCTTTCAGAACGTGATCCAATGCCTGGGTCAGCTGGCAAGTGGGCCGAAAGCCTTGCACCCAAGCGAGAGGCCACACAGATCGCGGTCTTCTAGGGACCTCAACCCCCTAAACCCTTAAAGCCCTTGAACCCTTCTTGTTAATCTTCGAGGGTCTTCTAGGGACCTGTGGGCTGCTTGTGGGATCTTCGACGACTCGATGGGGATGTAGCTGTCTTACATCGTGTTGAGTTTTTGTTGACGCTCATTCTGGTCAGACTCTGGTTCTACAGTTTGCAGTTCAGCAACTTGGCAGTTAGGTTAGGCATCCATTCGTTGTTAGGGCTTGGAAAGCAGGCTTTTGCGAGGTCTTCTGCGACGATTTGGTTTCGATCTGACAAACCACTCAGAAATCACGGAAATCAACCCCACACACACACACACTCACACACACACACACCACCACCAATCCTTAATCGCAAGGGAGAGCATCAGAGTGTCAGGGAACAGCGAACAGCACTCTCTTTTTGGACTTGCTGCTATGTAAACGGCAGCAGACGATCATGTTGGGCTTACCTCTTTCCCCAACGCTGCTCTCAAGCCCTGGCGCAAAGCCACAAATCACCCTGCCGAACAAAAGATGTCGCAGGTGGACCCACGTTTGCCCTTCCAGTGCATCCGGGCCTGAATTGCGATGGGTTTCCGGTACTAGAGAAGTCAGAATACATGATTCAATTCCAATATCCGCTGAGACTCCTTACATCACTATGCCCAAACATATCCCTCAACCCGAAATCTAGCGATTCAGGCCGCACATTTCTTGGTTCTTCCTGCAGCGCCGAATGCAGAGCCGTTTTCGGTATGTGCGGGGTCCAAGGAGCTCTTTGTCCCTGGAGCCATGAAGGGGGTGAACTCGAAGATGGAGGAGCCTCAGTGTGAAGTAGATGCTGTTTGTTGTCGAGCGCATTTCTTCTGACACTGCGCCTTTCTAGGTCCCTGCTAGGAAGTTAGGAATCCCATTATTATAACCATTAAGTAGACTTTCAATTCCTTGCGAAGAAGGGTACAGAGACGCCCAGCCCGAACCAAAGCGAGGGAGGTGGAATGGCCAGGGCGTAGCCATTCGTGTATATGTGTGTTCCCATATTTTGATAGTTAGACAAGAATACATACTCATCTACTAGTACATAACTGAGTGCTAGTAGATGATTATGTACTGTTATCTAAGTTGGATATGAGACTTGCGCTTGAATCGAAGGCTTTGACTTGAAGCTTAGGAACCCAGAGAGCCCAACTGAGTCGTTGATCATAAGATGACATTATCAAGAACCCATGCAGAGTCGCAGGTAGTGTTTGCTTGAAGTACGGGGTACAAGGGGCCTTCAGGGTCCAGGGGTGTCGGCTGGACCTCCAGAGTAAAGTGTCGAACGGCCGAGGTGCGTGAGACCATGACTACAGGACCCAACACCAACCCCCCCAAAACCATAGGATCGTGAAGACAAAACCCTCAGGTCGCAAGGTTCCTTTTGTTTTAGAGACATCGCCGTATGGGCAGTTGTGGTGTTCAGGATTTGGCCTTAGCATCTCGACCGAAAAGCAATCCAAACCCAAACTTGGCTTGAGGGTATAGAAAGGGTAAGGTCTCGGTCGTTCTTCTCTCCGTGCTTGCGCATATTTCTCGTGTGCGGCCATGGGGGGAGTAGCCGGATTTGAGTTTACTGCGAAGACTTGCAGGATTTCTCGCTGATGGGTGGGGCCCTTGCCCACTTCATCGGCAACGCTCTCTTCGGCTACTCCTTTGGAGTTCTGTACCTTGCCTTGCAAGTAAGGACCCTTTTTGTATGAGTCTCGTATGAGGGAGTGCGGAGGATCTGGGCTTGAGTTCGCTCTAGTGTCTGCCCGCTGCCCGGCCCTGCACGAGCTTTGGCGCACAAGAGGGGGGGTTTGTAAGTCGGTTGTATGGATGGGTGCAAGCATCAGGGTTGAGGCCAGGTCTTTGACACGGACCGCACTTTGAGCCAAGGAACAGCGACATCCCCAGGCACGATGCCTACTGCGGGCTGCGAAAGGCCTGCACTGCAAGCGTAGTTGGGAATCGGCAACGGGGATCCCGAGAGAATATAGGCCCCTTATCAGTGACGATATCCCTTCCTTTCCGAAAACATGTGAAGGCTTCATGAAAGTCCATCTTCGGTATACACTTCTGCAAGGTAGATTATGTTTTGAACCGTCTCTGAATCTATTAGAAACACTTGAAGAGGCCTAATAGTAGTCCTGTAGTTTTGCTTTCTTGATTCGCCTGCATTCGTCTGTTCAGGAGCTGCTCCCGGCGGCAAGCTGCACCACCATGGAGGACTTCGGAGATGTCAGGGCTTAAGGCCTTGGCATGGCAACTCACCCCTGTTCGTTAGAGGGCTTCTGGCAAATCTTCTGCAAGTGGATGTCCAAACCCCGAGTCCTCAAACATCCTAAATGTCTGCCTTCTGCCAACTCACTCTAGTCCTAGGTTCCTTATAAAGTTACCCTAGGAGGTTAAGCTTTCGTTTTCTCGATTTACAGTGGAGAAGGGAGCACGCGCAAAGTTGTCCGCGATCCTGCCTCGCAGGGACGGGCGGCCCCGCCGAGGCCAACCGGTCCTTCCCAAAGGCGAGAGGATAGAGTCCCCATCTAAATATGGCACAATCTACCCCAAAGCCCCGTTCAAAGGTTTTTGAACCCAGATATCATCAAAACAAAAAGATGATGGCCTCGGCCTTCTGCCCTCATCAGGCCGAGGTCCCGGAGAAGCCACGGTCGGAGCTTATGTTATGGTTGGTATCTGCAGTAGGCAAACCCGTTGGTGGAACAGGAGCTCGATGAGGTCGTATGTTTTGGCTTGGCCCACGACCCTTGGCCTTTCTCCAAATTTTTCAGTATCATTGCGGTTTGCAGAGCCACTTTGGAGATCCTGGGAGGCACAGCTCTTGCAACCGCATCGTGTGAAGCCTGGGGTGGAAGGGTCGAGGTGCAGGCAGGAGGGAGATTGCGATTGCGTCCTTCTGCAGCTGGCCTGGCTCAGGATGTCAACGCAACATCGGCGGCGCACTGCCGACAGAACTGCTGCGACGATGAGTACTGCAGTGTGTGGCAGGTCATGAGGACTCCGGACGCTGAGGGTTGAAATCTGACACAGTTTGAGTAACCACTTGTCCCCGGACCGTGAATACCAAATGATTCTTGCAACAGCCGCAGCCCATTCTGCTCCGGTTCTTCGTCCACCAGCTCTCGGAGGGGGTTCCCATGTCGGTGCCAGCTCAGCGACCGTATCTGTGATGAGATGTGAAATTAATGCGCTTGTGTTTTCATGTTGCAAAGTTGCTGTCTTGCGGCCAAGACTAGAAGAGCAGATCCAGGAACAATCAATGCTGGCGCGGCCGCAGCCACCACTGCACTGCGCTCCATCCCTATGCTGCAGAGGCTGCGGGAAGGTAAGGGTTAACAGGACAGTCGGGGTTGCGTCGAAGCCGGCATGTTGCCTACAACCTAAGGGATCATAAGTCCAGTTTCGAGTAGGATGAGATGATACAAGCCTTCCCAACCACAATCATCTGGCGCCCGGCGTTGCTTGTGATCTTGAGATACTCAGACCCTCTCAACCCTAAATCCCCAAGCCCCTGAACCCTCAAACCCTAAACCCTGAACCCTGTTGCTGCAGGTGGCATCCGGACAGCGCTTGCACTAAGCAGTGAGAGAGCCAGTAGTGGCCAGGCCCAAACCGTCAGCGATAGTCCAAGGCCTCAGGGCTGAGGGATGCGAGGATCTGGCTAGAGCTGAAGCCCAGTTGTGAGATCCAGGCTGTGATACTGCCGAATGATATGAACAATCGTGCTGGAGGTTTGGAATGGATTAATGCAACCCGCCAGATTCCACAATACAGCTCTTTAGGTTCTACACCGGCCTTGCTCTGACAGAACAAGGCTCAACAAGTCTGAACAAGAAGTAATTACCAATTTTCCGAACACCGAGCTCGAATGCCCTTGCTAGGTGGCCGTATGCAGGTGGCTGCCACTAGGTCTGGCCAGGGAACCAGTAGAGACCTGCTCCTCCCAGCTGAAGCAGTGATTTTAAGTTTCATCGGTCGGCGGGCTGCGCAGGAGCCCGGACGGACTCGGATTTGGAAGCTCGACTTCTTTTTACACCGCTGCGAAGCCTCCGCTGTTTGCTACGTTGACCAGGATTGCACCTCGTAATTAGGGAGTTTCCGAAAATTAGGGCTACCTCATTTTGGGGACCTATAATAAGGATCCTGTTATTTAGGGTACCATATATAGGGTCCCCTATTTTCGGAAACTCTCGTAAGTGTTGTAGGAGGCAGCCGCACGCAGGCTCGCGACAGACCCATGGACGCCTGCTGTGTCTTAAAAGGTTTTGTTCAGTGCTTAGTGCTCAGGGCTTTCGATGTGTGATAAAGTGAGAACCACTGCAAAGATGCCCGGCTTAGAGTCTACAGGATCGTAACAGAAGACCTTTAGTGATCGGAAAGCACGGCGCGGGCATCGGGCTCAACTTTCAGTGTATATGACTAAATGAACAAGCCATCATTACCGACCGGCGGATGCACCCTTAACCCCAAAGCCCGAGCCGAATAAAAAAGTAGTTACATCTATGTGGTCAGTAAACAAACAAATGTGTATGTATATGCACAATATACATCTGCAACGATGTATGTATACACACTTATTTGTTTGATAATGTTATGCTATGTTTATGTACGCAAGCATTTGTTTATGTATTTGTACTTATAGCTAGGTAAATGGCTAGGCAGATGAAGATGGATCCTACTTCAGCGTCCATTATGTCGAAAAGGTTGCTGGCCTGCACTTGCTGCCTCACCATCTTAGCTTTACCGAGATGATTCCCAACCGCTCTCAAAACGAGCGTTGCGGGGAGAAAAAGGGTTTGGGACATTGGGCGGCATCCCGCAAGCATGCTGCAGCATCATTGCTCTGAACCAGCATAACTATTACTGTAACTCTGTGAATCTAGGTATGAACCCTAGTGGCTCAGTAGGTAACCGTTGCATGTCGGGAATGTTATACCCTAGTCTGATCATCTTGAACTCGGGAACTCGGCAGCTAAGTTTTACACATCTCTTGAATGCATAAAACCAAGGAATATCCAAGCCAGAAAAATGAGCACAGCAACCGTATGACCCTGAAACCCTGCAACCTCAACATCACAAAGCTTATAACCCATTGTAGCAACATAATCCGACGGGATTTTTGTGATGCATGTGTGCGTATGCAACTGTATTTGGAAAATGTGCGTGTGTCTAGGAAAACATGCATACCTAGAATGCATGCATACATACATATATGCATACGTTTATACATACATGAATATTTCAATATACCTATTTACATGCGTATGTGTAAACATATGTATACATATATATATAGATATATAGATATATAGATATATAGATATATAGATATATAGATATATATATATATATATACATATACATTTGTATATATATATATTTATATATGCACGTGTATGTAGGTGTACATGTCTACATGTATTGTATAGCCCACAAAGCCGAGCTTTGCCAGGTCCCGGGCCGTGCTCCAGCCCGGGTCTCGCTGTTTGGTAGTCACCGAGGGTCGGTTTTTGGGGCGTCCGGGGCTTTCGGAGGGAGCTTGGGGCTTTGGGAGTTCGGGGCTTTACGATTTGAGGGTTTTAGGAGGGTTGGCAGTCGCTGGGGATTGCACCAGCCCAGATGCAAAAAGGAGGTTGGGGTTGCGAGGCCGTTCATCTGCGGGCTTGGCAATGATAATGTCGTGCACGCGTTGTAGGTCGTGAAGCAAACCCTGGAACCCTCCTTTCTGCATGTAACAGAAGCCATTGAATCTGGGCATCCGAATGTTGGCGCATGGTGCCATAAGGTTTTAGGGTGCTGCAGTAGACCTGTGGTACGTCCTTGCATCATGTTCCGAACACTGCATACCATGTATCTTCTTGGAGCAGACCTGTGGCCTTGAAGAGAATTATCGTCCACGGAAGGTCGAAGATCAATGCCGTGGTGGGAGGCACCTTTAAGGGTTTGGGGTTTGAGGCGTGGGATGCTTTGGCTTTAGCGTTTGGAGCTTGGGTATGCGGCACAGGGTTTGGGGCTGAGTTGGCTAGCCTGCCAGTATCGTACGGCAGAAGCTAGGCGATGTCGTTCAAGCACAAGCCCAACACCCCAAGATGCAAACAAACACCTTCGCACCGGTGCGTGTGCAGGGCTTTCAACAAGAACAGTAAAGTCAGATGTGTAACGATGCAACACCGTCGCCATGACCGTCACATTCCGAAACATCCACTTTGCTGCCCCATGAGAAACCGTTAAGGCAATACACAGAAGAAGCTAGCAGCAAGCTGATTTATCTCGAGGCCCAAAAACCAAAAGAAAAAAACGAAGCCCTAAATACCGATAAATGGCTTGTCCGAGTTGTGAGAGCGTAGGTACCGATAAGTCCCTAAAGCCCTAAGAACCAGCACCAAACTCTAACGCCCCGTGCAAAAGCTCGTGGAGGCCTAGCACAGGCGACACACGCCCAGCAGGCCAGAACGGCCCAGTGCCCAGACCAGGGGCAAGTGGCGGTGTTTCGGGCTTGGGAGCTTTCGAGGGTTCGGCAATGGCTTCTTTAAGGCCTTGAGGGTACAACGAGACTATGGGCATTGTAAGGGTGTTTCACGGTGTAAAGGCTCAGGGTTGAGGAGCTTGGGCTCACGAGGGACTGCATAGGAAATTCCGTTGTGCAGCGCTAAAGCCCAAGCAACGGCCAGGAATCACACCGAAAAAACGCGCCACACCCGATCTGAAGCGAAAATCCCTGCCAACCCACACGAGCGACTACATCCTTACCGTCTTGAGAGTTTCGGGTTTTGGAAGGTCTCAACCCCTATGCCTAAGCCCCCCCTCAACCCTAAACCCCAAGCCTTGCCTTGTGCGAGAGTGAGCGTCGAAACCCCAAACCGCTAACCCTAAGCCCCATCAACTGGGAGTTTCCGAGAATTGGGGGTACCTTATTTTGGGGTCCTTATACTAGGGCCCCCTATTTTCGGAAACCCCCAACTCTTTACCGTTGGTTAGTAGGGAATGGAAGAGGGTAGTAATGGTAGTTATGATTGTACCCCACTCCTCCATTCCGTAGTAACCAAAGGTAAGTCAACTCTAAAGCCTCGAACTGCTAAACTCCCTAAGAGCCCCCCGAAGCCTAAGCCCTAAACCCTAAACCCCTAAACCGTTTAGGGTTTAGGGTTTAGAAACCCTAAACCCTAAAAACTAAACCCAAAACCCTTCCAGCCGTGCGAGAGGGAAAAAAACCCAAAACCCGTCATGCTTGAGGT